CTAGTAGCGATGCCAGGAGCCCCTAGTAGCGTCCTTGCTCCTAGTAGTAAGGCCAGGAGCCCCTAGTAGCGTCCTTGCTCCTAGTAGTAAGGCCAGGACCCCCCAGTAGCTTCTTGTTACTAGTAGCGATGCCCGGTAAAGTGATGTTTTGAGATAACCATGCCATGGATTCCGGACTTCGCATACATGGCTTGAGCACTTGGTACATGGCCGAAAATAACACAGCCGCTTTTTCTTCAAGGCCCGTTTCTCACTATTTTCTACTAGGGTGGGAGGCCTTACTATGTTCTGTGTCATGTTCCGTAGACCTCTGGAATCTCCACCAGTCGGTGGCTTCGTCGATCTCTCGACGCGCCGCGCGGCGCCTCGGCCATCTTCTCTCTCATTTGAGCATTGGGGCTTCGAGGATTCTTCTCCTGCGAGGGAAGTCAGTCCGTTGGCCAATAGAAACGAATGCTCTGCCACAAGTGGGGGACTTGAACATCGATGGCCTTTCACAACAGAAACCCGTCTCTTCCTGTTCCTTTTCTGTTTTTGTCCTTTCTTGTCTTAAGGCATCTTTGACCTCTTCCATCCAGTAGCGTTCTTGCTCCTAGTAGCGATGCCAGGAGCCCCTACCAGCGTCCTTGCTCCTAGTAGCTCCTTTCTTTGACAGAACGTTTCCGTGTCAGAGCCCACCTGTGGGGCCTCGTTCTTCGCCCGTTCCTCCTGCATCCGTTCTTCCAAGCGTCGCGCCTGCGGCGCCCAGAAGCAGGGACCGGCTGATCGCTCGGATGCGAAGTCAGCCCCCCCCAAAGCGGGTCGCTCCTAGTAGCTTCTTGTTACTACTAGTAAGGCACTTGTTACTAGAAGCGTGGCACTTGTTACTAGTAGCGTCCTTGTTCCTAGTAGCGATGCCAGGAGCCCCTAGTAGTAGCGATGCCCTTTGCTCCTAGTAGCCCCCCCCAATCCATCAGGACTACGACCAGGCGTGCAAAACACGTTTCTAGCCCTCACCCACCCACCGTGTGTCTTGCACGAGCTTGCTTCTTTTTCATCTTTCAGAGATACTGCGTTCTCAGTGGGGTCAGTGAGGAAGGTGTTTCCTTGTATGATTGAATCTGGATGTTTCTCTTAGTCATAGCAACATCAACACGAAGAGTTCAAGACTGTCAAGGCAAGGAAGCCCTGAAGAGCCTTGTTTGCAGCCTGGCCCCAGTGAGTTAAAAGGCCTAGTAGCGTCCTTGCTCCTAGTAGCGATGCCCTTTGCTCCTAGTAGCGTCCTTGCTCCGGGAGCCCCTAGTAGCGTCCTAGCCTTGAAACGCGACCTGGAGCTCCATTAAGAGCTATCAAGACTCTGCTTTGTCTCATTTTTCCGCAGAAGGATCGAAGCCAAATTCGGCAAGTCGATGTACGAACGAGCCAAATTGATGTCTAAACAAAGGGGGCATTCGATCAGAAAGCAGATGAGAGCATCCGAAACATGAAAACCACGCAAAGGGCTCCCTGTTTGAAGGGAAATACAGGGACCCCTGACATCAAACCTCACGAATTATGCTGCCATGAGTGGCGCCACCATGATCGCGATTGGGATCTTCCAAGGCAAAGCTGCATCCGCTTCGTCTGCTTGGCAGCATGAAACTCCATCCCTGGTGCATTCGTAGACATTGTTCGTGGCTTGCCACTGAGTCACGGTACCTCCAGTGCCGCAGACTTCTTCACAAAGGCTATAGCTGGTGACTGTGCTGCATTGCACGGTGCCTCCACTTGTCCCGCTGCTTGTGCTGACACTCGAACAGCAATCAACGCCGTTGTTGGTACAATCGCACGAGCCGCCAATGCAAATGCTCGACGTGCATCCGACTCCCAAGGCTTGGCATTCTTCGTTTGATGAGACACACTGGTCGAGGCTTGCGGCCGCGCCAAGACATGCAAGCAAAAGGAACTTGGCCATGGCGAAACGGGAACTGGATGCCTTGCCACCCTAGGAGGAGGGATGCTACTAGGGGCTCCCAGGCAGCTAGTGCTCAAAAGCTGTGACAGTCGAAGGTCTTTGAGCGGTATCCCAATTACCCTCAAGCGTTGTTCAAAAACCTGGTCCTTCGCCTGCTTTTGGCATGCGGAAGACACATCCACAATGAGTTGACAAATAGCCCTCTAAGTAGCCCTTTAACCTAATAGCTACTACCTAATAGCTTCTTGCTCCTAGTAGTACGGCCAGGAGCCCCTAGTAGCTTCTAAGTAGCCCTTTAACCAAACCACTTCCCCTCGGACGCCACCGTGCGCGCCTTGTCCAGCACCGCGCCGTCCAGCGTCACCCGCTTTGGCATCGGCCGCGGTGGCGTGGCCGGCAGCGCCGCCGGCAGTGCCTCGGGCAGCATCGTCTGGCTGAGCTCCTTGCGGAGGCGTTCCAGCTCCTGGAAGGAGAGAAAGATTGAGTGAGGAACAGTATAAGAAAATCAATCTTAATTAAGAAGATAATAAAGATTAAAGGGGTTGGACAAAGGATTAAGATTACGAGGTTTATCTTATTTTGCTTATATAATGAATTCCATGGATTAAGATGATGGATGCATATAACTGTATGAGCACCTAATAACTATGTGCACTGACGTCTCATTTTGGATGTCTTTCGTTGGTCTTGGACTCTGAGTCTAGCAACATGTTCTCTCCGAGACTCTTGAGACCCTTTTGTTGTTCTTTGTGTCTCAAGCCCCTAGTAGCGAACATGCTCCTGTTGCTCTTGTTGAGATTTCCAAGAAAATCAATGGTGTGGTGTCTGTGTTTTTTCGCCGGTCCCGTCTCCTGCTCCAGCACGCGCACCGAGCACTCGGCTCGGCGTCGCTCGGTCTCCGAGGCGTTCCACTCCTTCAGGGCGCGTTCCAAGCGCTTCACCTCACCGCGGTGCTCATAGGGTGGTGGCCATCGCTCTTAGGTGTAAAGGGCTTTTTTGACTCAATGACCCGTTGGCCACTGAAGGCCCTTAACCTGGGCGTTCGGATGGGAACCCCAAACGGACGTTCGGGCGTTCCGAGCAATTCGCGTCCGGCGTACTTGCGTCTTTGACATGAATCGTTGCGTGAATCGCAGCATCGAAAATGGATCGGTGCCTAGCGTCGTGTGGTGCGCAAAAGGAACTAGTGATGTTGCGCCTGCACGTCGTTCTGCAGCTTCTGCTCCCGTGCCTCACTCCCCAGCCTCAGAAGTGAGATTTGCTTTCGATGGCAGTTTTGCATTGTTCGGGTCCATAAGTTGGCTAAGACATCGCTACTAGGAGCAAAGGGCATCGCTACTAGGAGCATGGACGCTACTAGGGGCTCCTGGCCTTACTACTAGGAGCAAGAGGACGCTACGAACGGCGCAAAGGGCATCGCTACGAACGGAGCAATCACCGTAGAAAATCGGATCGTTAAACGATTAAATTCTAATTCTAATTTCATTTAATTCTAATTTATTGTTTCTAATAGCTTCTTGTTACTACTAGTAACACACTTGTTTTTGTTAAACGGTTTCTCATTGGATGCAAGCCTTGTGGTGGAGTTGTTGATCGATCAATCGCACCGTCATGGCCGTACGACCGTCACCGTTCACCCCATTGAGGCTTTTCCAGCGATCTCCCGCGATCCGACTTCCTAAAGTATCATGGTTGTATCTAAGAAAAGCACAAGTTCCTAGTAGCTTCTTGTTACTACTAGTAAGGCACTTGTTACTACTAGCGATGCACCTGTTACTAGTAGCTTCTTGTTTCTATCATGGTTGTATCTAAGAAAAGCAACGCAAAGACATGTGTTCCTTTTCAGCTATTTATGAGTGCATTGCTCAATCCTCAAACCTCCAACTTCGGCCATGGGACTCCACCAGGCGCTCCCGTGCGGCCGTCAACTGACTGCGCGCCTCTTGTGCCTCGCGATCTGCAACACTCTGCCCATTGCTGATTTGGTTGGGACACTGTGTTTGGGATGTATTGATCGAAGGGGCTCCTATGGGCTCCTTCCGGACTGTGTGCGTTTCAGCTAGTCCAGGTCCTAATGATCTACTGTAATTTGCTCTGGAATGTTGGAAAACAAAAAAGTTCCCCATTAGGTTGGAGGCCATCGCTTCTAGGGTGGAGGGCCATCGCTCTTAGGAACAAGAAGCTCATTTTCATCTCCTTCCAGCACTTTCGGACAGAATCGCACTTTGCCTCTTTTTGGAAGTCGGAACACTTCCTGAGTTTGATTGAAAGTGTGGGCCTTGTCACGACCAGCGACCCCCCAAAACTGGTCACGTGTTTGCCTTCGAAGTCATTGCGTTGTCATGTCTCATCATGCTGTGAATCAAATGGAGGCTCTGCACACCAACCAAAGCAGTCAACCTACGAAAATAGACTTCGAGAGAACCGAAGGGACTGAACTGAGCCCGGTGCGACTGCTCTGTCAGCAACTCCCCCTTCATCTGCAGATGCTTCGCGACGACGTGTTTCACGACGCACGCGGAGTCTGGGCGACGACGGAGTCTGACAGACTAGGACGCTACTAGGGGCTCCTGGCATCGCTACTAGGAGCAAGGGCCTTACTACTAGTAACAAGAAGCTAGTAGAAACAAACATTAGTAATTTAATTCTATATCTTCTTGTTACTACTAGTAAGGCACTTGTTACTAGTAGCATTCTTACTAGTTAGAATTCAAATTAGCAAAGGGCGACGACGGAGTCAGACCGATCACCGTCCACCGGTCGTGCCTTGTCGACCTCGCATGACTTGGCGTCACACCTGAGGCACCCATGCCGTGAGTTTCGACGTTTATCCATGGTACATGGAAGAAGACAAGAAAACAAGCAGACAAACGCGTGCCCAAAATTGCATATTCAACTATAGATCTAATCAATGTCCTCAATGTTTGCGAAGACAAGAGAGAATCAAACAGAATACCGCGACTGTCAATGTTCAGGAGCATCACCAGCTTGGCAAATAAATGAATAAATGAACGCCTTGAAAGTCCACGACTTTCCAACTCAATGTCTTGCCACATTGCCCAGCTCTCTCTCTCTCTCTCTACTCACATTTCTGCACCCCGCAGGCATGCGGGCCCTGCCTGCTACAAAGAAGATCGCACTCAATCCTCGAGTCGACGGCCGAAGCACGGCCGAAGCTCACGATCCAGGCCGGCGTGGCCTTACTACTAGGAACAAGAAGCTAAGGAGCAAAGGGCATCGCAACAAGTAACAAGAAGCTATTAGAAACAATAAATTAAAAAAAGAGCAGAGAACTGCGAAAAAGTCGGTTTCTCATGTCTTTTTTGGTTCTCGGAACATAGTTTGCTATTCGGTTGAAGGCCATCGCTACTGGGTGGAGGCCATCGCCATTAGGAACAAGAAGCTACTAGGGGCTCCTGGCCTTACTACTAGGAGCAAGGACGCTACTAGGGGCTCCTGGCATCGCTACTAGGAGCAAGAAGGCTACTAGGTTGGAGGCCATCCCTACCCTTCGGACCTTCGGCCAGGTCGGAAGCGTCGTTTGACCATGACCGGACCGGGCACCCCACGTCTGGCATCCAGCATGGATCGAACACTTCTCAGAGACGGCCTGGACAGGAAACCCTTTGTGTCATAAGCTGAGGGTGCACAGTCTAATGGATGCTATATATTGTTTCTACTAGCTTCTTGTTACTACTAGTAAGGCACTTGTTACTAGTAGCGATGCACTTGTTCCTAGTAGCTTAAGTAGCTACCAGTTAGGATGGCAGGATAGCTCATACTTCTTCAAGGAAGCTCCCCCCGTCTGAGGGCGGTGGGGAATGTCCTTGAAGAAGCGCTCGCACTAATGATTTAGTTCCTATAGATGTTTTTGAGGGAAACTTAACTTTCTTTCTTTCTTGGTGTCAATCGTTCTGTGACTCTTCAGTTTGCCAAGGTCTACTCTACTGGATTCCAAATGAGATTGCTGACATATGTGCACCTGCCCGAGCACTCCATCAGATTACATGTTATGCAGGGTGTCGGCGGTGATTCATGCTACGAATGCTGCTACAACCTATTCAGCCACTCAACAGGAAAAGAGGGGGCATCGCTACTAGGAGCAAGGACGCTACTAGGGGCTCCTGGCCTTACTACTAGGAACAAGAAGCTACTCGTAACAAGGGCATTTCTACTAGTAGCAAGAAGCTACTAGTAACAAGTGCATCGCTTCTAGTAACAAGTGCCTTACTAGTAGTAACAAGGACGCTACTAGGAACAAGGAAGCGACTAGGTTGGAGGCCATCGCTAGTAACAAGGAAAAAGAAGGTCCAAAAGTCTAAAGAACAGAAGCGACGTTGAACACAAAGAACTTTAAACGGAAGGGAAACAAAAGAAAGGGGAGAAAGAGTAGGAAGTCAAATAGGTTTTATCAAATAGGTCTTCCCAAATCCTTGGCAAACTTTAGAGTTGATCGAATGAAGTCAAGTGAGTGTTCCGCAAAGAACAGCCGCACACACATTTCCGGCGCGGCACACTCTAGCCGCTGGAACCATCTTGAAACGGTTTTCGGCAGCACTGCGCCTTCATCTCGGCACTCCTCCACCACCTTGCCCACAACAAGCCGTTGAGCTTCTCCCAGCTTGAAGATGAACAATCATAGTGCATAATTAGTAAACTAGTAGCTTCTTGTTACTAGTAGTAAGAATGCTCCTAGTAGTAATGCCAGGAGCTACTAGTAGCTTCTTGCTCCTAGTAGCGATGCCCTTTGTTACTAGCAGCAACCTATAATTCTTAGACCTTTGTTCCTGTTCCTTTTTTCTTTGTTTCTATCAGCGACGGCCTCAAAACCTACTTTCGATGGCCTCCAACCTCAGAGCTAATGTGCATCGTGAATCGGGTTTCACGAGTAACTTGAGATGGTGAGATTGCACCAGGTGAAGTCGTGGAGTCAACGAGAGGAACCGGCAAAATCTGATCTCCCTTTGGCTAAGGCACTAAAACCAGCTTTGGGAACATGTTCGCTAATAGGAGCGATCAGACGCTACTAGGGGCTCCTGGCATCGCTACCAGGAGCGATCGGACGCTATTAGTAGCAATTAGGTTGGAGGCCATCGCTGCTCTCACCGCATCAAAGGACCAGTCAAAAGCGATCTTTGGGAAAAAGGACCAGTGCAGCTGGTTCGACAAAAGCCAACTGGTCGTCCCATGAATCTCCCGGGAACTGAGAGACAACATGGTGGCCCACAATGGCCTCTGAGACTTGCATTTGTGGTCTGCTTTTGAATAGTAAATGTCTAAAAGAAAAACACAAAAAGGTTTAAAAAGGAAAAGATCAAATGCAGGAAGACGCAAAAGAGAATGCAAAAGAAGACCTTCGGATGTCCGCCGATCCCCAAGAGTCATCCCAGGTCCATTCCGGATGTCCGGATTCCCGGGCCTTTGGTGAAGCTGCCTGGAGCCAGCTTGTTTGGTTTTGAATCAGCAAGAAAATGGTAGGAAAGGGTCGATCGGGATGTCGATCGGGGTCTAAGGGAAGAAGTAAGACTTCCAGAGAACGAAACGGGTGCGCAACTAACTAGGCACTTCTCCCATCGTGTAGTTCAAAAGTGGTCAGGGCTTCATGATTGGACAGCTGCATAGAAGGAGTGAAAGTGATGCTTCTTTCTCTTCTGCCGCGCCTCTATTCAAACATGTTGAGGCCGTGCCTCTTTCTGTTTCTTCCCGTCTTGCTTTTCAGCCCGACCAAGCGAGACTTTTGGCAGCTTCCCTCACTTTCGTTGCTTTCCGGTGAAACGCTGAAGACGCACGTGACCCATCTGCGGGATGAGATCGGAACACCGTGTGGTTTCTGCGGAGACGGGATGAAAGGAAACCTACACCTGGCTTTTGGTCTATCACGGAGAAACCCCAAACCGACCCAACTGGCTGGTCTGGTCAGTCGTCCAGTACTTCTAGGAATTTGTTAAACACATGAAACGTCTTGGCAACATCCAGTTGTTCAAGGATCATTTAAAGAGCCTTGGATGTTTTGTCTTCCGCTTTGAAGAGCCTTGGATAAGCTCAAAAAGAGAGACAGCGGCCATGCTTCGAAAGCCTCCTTCTCATCGATCCACGGAGCTCACGGCGAAAAAATGAAGCAACGGTGGTTACCACCTCACAGTAGACTTGACCTCTTCAGCTTGGCTGAAGCTCTAAGCATGCAACGCGAGGAAAAAACTGGGCCCGGGCAAGAGGCGCCTCAGTCTGACTAAAGCTTGACTCAGGAGTCTCTGAGACTCCAAAAAGGCTTGCGGATTGACTCCACAAAGATTCTGGTCAACAAGATGGGAAGAAATAAGAAGATCCTCCAGGCCCTTCCCCAGTCATCATTCAAAAAAAACTACGGAAAGCTGATGCCTGTGCGATCACGAGTGCACTTCTTCGCAGCCCAGAGAAGAAAGACACCACCTGGACCAACCACCCAAGCTGCATCACTCCAACCTCCTAGCGATGGCCTCCAACCTAGAAGCGAAAGATTCCATTGTGTGGCAAGAAAGAACCCTTTCACTGGGTTGGCATGCTTTCGAGCCAACAGAGTTGGGGACGTGTCTCTAGTTTTGATCACAAGTTCGGATGGTCCTATCGGTCCCATCTTCTCCTTCCGCTTCACTTCTCCCATCGGCGACTCACTGCTTCAGCACTTCCGCCTCACAGCGATGGTACAGCCCACGGGTGAAACCTGCTATGCCATGCTGATCTATGCTTGCTATGTTCCCACCAAACCGCGATCTGAGGCCATTGAAGGCCACTCCTCTGCTACGAGTTGGCGCATGCGAACGCACATGGAAGCACAACGAAAGCACACACGGAAGCAAGGCCAAACATGGGGTCACCGACCACAACGTCACACGGAGGCAGGGCCGAAGCCCCACAAAGCACGAGAAAGAACACGACGTCCTGACCATGGAACGCCCCTGCTAACACCTGCTTGAGGGGAAATAGGACGTTGAGGAACCTAAGAGTGATGGCCTCCAACCTAGTAGAGACGGCCTCCAACCTAAGAGTGATGGCCTCCAAGCCATGGAACACCTGCTAACACCTGAGAAAAAGGACATCCATCCAAATCCAATGTGAGACAACACTGCTCAAAGAGCATTTCCAGACCGGAAGCCAGAACAGGGGTGTTGGCCCAAGAAACGCTCGCCAACAGAAACCACTGCATCTCCTCATCGCCGTGTGGCTTTCCATCGTTCTTCTACTTTCCGGCGACCACGAAGCACAAACCCCACCATCCACGAAGAAGCACAACCCAAGAGATGTCCATCCTGGCACATCCTCGGACCATCTGCCTCTGATTGGAAGAACACAAAGAAACAGAACCAGAGGGGGAATCGAGACCGGACAAATCCACATGGAACACAGTGGGTACACATGGTTCTCTCGCACAGAACCTCTTGGACCACCACACGGTTCATCCCCGGTGCGTTTCGCCTCTGCGACGAGATCCAAGGACTCACCAGACTTCAAGCGCCTCGCACGAGGTGCGGAACACAACTCGCCGAGCCAAGAAGGTTGCTTCGCTACTAAAAGGGTGGTTCTTGAAGGCGTAGGTGTTCTAAGGTGATCTAGATCGAAAGGCTTGAAAACTACAGTATTTTTGAGTCTCCCCTCTACAAACTTGGATGACCATGAATGACAATAGCGATGGCCTCCACCCTAAAATCCTTTGCATGTTGCACACGTCAGAAAGCCGGCCTCTCCAATGCAGAGAGGTGATGGGCAGCAAACAGCAGGCTATTCACCTGTCAGACCGTCGGAGCACAGGAACACAGGCTCCTTGCATTTCCTCGACCATGTTGTTGTGTGGAACAGAAGCAGGCCTGAAGAAGCTGTGCCTGCATGGATTTGTATGGATCCTGAAGCCTTTTATAGATTTTTATAGTGAAAACGTGGTGATGGATAAGGAGTGAAGCATTCAAGAGCTGGGGGATTCCATGTCCGACCCGAGGCCTCAAGGCAAACGCCCGAAAGGCCGAGAGAAAACCTAGTAGCGTCCGATCGCTCCTAGTAGCGATGCCAGGAGCGCCCCTAGTAGCGTCCTTGTTCCTAGTAGCGATGCCCTTGTTCCTAGTAGCTTCTTGTTACTACTAGTAAGGCACTTGTTACTACTAGTAAGGCACTTGTTCCTAGTAGCGATGCCCTTTGCTCCTAGTAGCGTCCTCTGTACTAGAAAACCCATTTGTACGGGTCCATCGACTAGTACGACTAGTACGACCACACATCGCTCGTGTGCTTGCGTGGCTCCGAAGCCGCCTGGCCCGTGGGGTCCATCGATGGATCCAATTGGTTGGAACTCAAGGAGATGTCCCACATCCCATCTTGAGAAGCCACACGCTTCGCCTGGCAAGTCGTGAGCAGCATGTGCAACATGTCCGCATGTCCCTCCCTCACCAGGAAGAGCGACCTCTCTTTGAGGTGCTTTATCTTGATTTCCACTAGGAGCAAGGATGCTACTAGGGGCTCCTGGCATCGCTACGAACGGAGCGATCGGACGCTACTAGTAGCAAAGGGCATTGCTATTCACCGGTGGGCCACCGGTTGGCCACAAGTTCCTCAGAGTCCTCCTTTTTCTAGTGCGGTCGAAGACAGGAGCAACGACGAAACAGGTCTTGAATCGACCGGATCGTTCTCAAAACTTTGAAGCCCTGAAGTATTCCAAAGATACAAAGTATTGAAACAATAAAACAAACGTTATATCATTTATATCATTTATATCGTTCGCTCTTCACTCAATCGTTTTTTTTTGCGGAAAACAAAGAAATAAAAAAGAAAAAAAGCACACCGCCGAACGGTCGGCGCGTGCCGCGGTCGTGTTCGCTTGGTCTGTGACGCACCTGGATACCCAGAGCACGAGTGACCTCCTTGAAGCCGGTCATGTGACCCAGCGAGGGCAAGGCGCTTCGCAACTTTGCACCTCGCAACTGGACACGTCGAAGGAAATGGTGCAAAAAAAAAGCACAATAAAAGGACTAAAAGACGAGGTGAAATAGAAAACGGATCTTTAAACATAGAAAATGGAAAATACAAAGAATCCTCTCGCACTCCGCGGGAGAGAGTGGGTGGGTGAGGTTGGCCTCCGTTGTGGCACATGTCAACATGCGTCATCACCCTCCCTTTTAGTGCAGGTGTCCATCAACGCATCCCTGGAATTCCTATTGATTCAACCAAATCGTCAAGGGGGGAGTAGCGTCCTTGCTCCTAGTGATCTCTGAACTCGGCTGAAACGGCTCCAGCTCCGCGAGCGGGCACTCGGCTTCCACACGAAACGCGGCACCCAGATCGCTCGGGCAAGTGGTCAAAAACCCCAGGCCTCGCTCCGCGGCTCCCGCTGCGCCGAACCCGACCGAATCGGGTCCACTCCAACCAGTCAGGTCTTGAAAGAGGGTATTCTTAGTAGCTCTTGTTTACTAGTAGCTTCTTGTTACTACTAGTAAGGCACCTGTTACTACTAGCGTGGCACTTGTTACTACTAGCTTCTTAGTTATACAGTGAGGAATTCTTCGATTCATGTAGATTAAGAACTAAAATACCTCCTTCCTGTCGCTCTTTTGCTCCTTTAGACCTTCAGTCTCGTCGTTCTTTCAAGAAACACCAAAGACCAGAAGAGCCGTCAAGCCCCGGCTCATCCTCCAGCTCGGCTTCCCGGGCGTTCGCTCGAGGCGAAGCGATGCCCGTTCTGAAGCAGGAATCGCGTCAAGGCCTCCCATCGACGGGAGCTTTCCGGTATTGAGCGAAGACTGGTTTGCCACAAAGTGCCTGAATTCGTTGCTTCCGAATCGCTACTAGTAACAAAAGGCATTACTACTAGGAGCAAGGACGCTACTAGTAGCTCCTGGCCTTACTTCTAGGAACAAGAAGGTACTAGGAACAACTCCAACTCTTAGACAAAGCAAGCCGCTCAGCTTGTTTGTTGTTTCTGGTAGGGTCTGCGCGGTTATCTGTCCCCACACCAAGGACTCTTCAAACACATGGAGGGTTGCCATGGATCTACCCTACTTGCAGTGGCCTCCAACCTAAGAGGTGGAAGAGTTGGGGGCGTCCTTGCCACTAGTAGTACGGCCAGGAGCCCCTAGTAGCGTCCTTGCCACTAGTAGCGATGCCCTGGTTACTAGTAGAGACCTTGCTCCTAGTAGTAAGGCCAGGAACCATTGTCGGAGAATTGGCAAAGCGCAATTGATGCTTTTCAAAGCCTCCCAGAGTCTCTGTGCGTAGATGCTATGGTCAAATTGAACTGTCTCTCCATCGATGCATAGAAGGAAACTTCGCAGAAGGGCCTTCAGCTGTTGTTCCCAATTCGCCCAGTTCTTTATCCCTCTTCATGTCTTGGAAAACTGACGAAAGACGAGACGGACATATGGACATCTGAGACCATTCTGATGGCCTCTTCCGCTTGGGAAAGGAGGCTGACGGCCGCCTGTGTGGCAAGTCATAAGGAGCAAAAGTGACAATGGTTACATACACTCACTCAGAGACCTTGTGCAAAGCAGATCATCACGTACTTTGCTCACAACACCAAAGAAAGCGGATGTGCGCAGACCCTGCTCCCCTGGCAGAACTGGGCCTCTTTCCAGTCAATCTAGCACTTATCTCGACTTCTGTGCTTCCATTGCCGTAGCAGAACCGAAATGTGGGCTGGATCTTCTAGAAAGGTACCTAGTACTTGGGATCATGAGATAGCAAGTCAAACCGTCTCAGGTCAGCCCAAGGATAAGATGAGGACAAACTCGTGTCTAAGATTGATTCTTTGAAACAGGTTTAATCAAACATAGGAAGAAAGTTCTTGAAAGGTCTAGAAGCTTCCTTGGGAATCGTTTTATTGGGAATCGTTTCACCTGCAACAAGAAGCTGTTTAGCTCTTTGAAGCTTCTTAGTAACAGCTTTCTAGTGACGAAGAAAGCTTGAAAGGGTCGTGAGATCGACAAAAAGACCGTGAGACCGCGAGATCGAGGAGAAACAACAGGTTAATATAAGCTACTAGGAACAAGTGCATCGCTTCTAGTAACAAGTGCCTTACTAGTAGTAACAATGTTTGCTATTAGAAACAAGACAATATAGGTTAATATAAGCTACTTGCCTTGAGGTCGCCGTTCGCCCTCCGGACGATCAACCTCCTCAGGACGTCTCAAGGTTCCCACGGTTCGTGTGGAAAACGGGCATCGCTACGAACGGGGCTCCTGGCGTTTCTACTAGGAACAAACAGCTACTAGGGGCGCTCCTGGCCTTACTACTAGGAGCAAGGACGCTACTAGGAGGTCTTGGAAGCTTTGTGACTAGAAGCTACTAGGTTGGAGGGCATCGCTGCTAGCAACTAGTGCTTTCAGCAAAGTGCAGGTGTTCTTCATTCATATCGGTTCAACTCCTGCTACGTACAATTTCGCTGTTTTGCAGGGCCTGATCATCCACCCGTAAGGCTTCCAGGTGTGCTTTTGAGAAGAAATCCTGGTGTACCAAGGTCCATCAAAGCACCCCACCCGCTCCCCGCAGTCTCGCCCGATCGCCGAGGCCGCAGCAGGTGGTTCTCGTCATTAATCCAAGCCGCGAAGTCCTGGGCGAGGATGGCAGTTCCGGAGAAAGGTCCGTTGCCACCACTTGACGGTCACGGTACCTGACAACCGAAAGAGAAAAACGTCACGAGAGAAGTTTCTTTTAATAAAGAAAGTGTTCCTTTCATGTTTTTCTTGAGGTCCTCTTGTTTGATGGGCCATTTCCAGGCGAAGTGCTAGCGTCCGTCCACAAGAGCGACCCAAGAGAGAAACCAGTTCGGTCGCTTGAGATCGTTGCGGTTGTTTCGTTGTGGAATCTCGATGTGAGCGGTTCTTGTTACTAGTAACAGGTGCCACGCTACTAGTAACAGGTGCCTTACTAGTAGTAACAAAAAGCTATTTGCTTCTTGTTACTACTAGTAAGGCACTTGTTACTACTAGCAATGCCCTTTGTTCCTAGTAGCTTCTTGTTACTAGTAGCAAGAATGCTCCTAGTAGTATGGCCATGAGCCCCTAGTACCGTCCCTGCTCCTAGTAGCGTCCCTGCTCCTAGTAGCGATGCCAGGAGCCCCTAGCAGCTTCTTGCTGCTAGTAGCGATGCCGGACATGTTTGACTTCTTTAGAAAATGCTTGCCAAATCCATGATGAAACCTATGAAAGGAGCGTTGCCTTGGCGGGTTTTTCTTTTCTTAGACCTTTCCATGTGCCAAAACCGTCTGGCCGTCCTTGCTCTTGCTCAGGAAGACTCCCCTGGCCTCAGCGGATGCAATCGCAACCTACGGCCTCCAACCAACAAAATTGCCCAACCCATTCTGCTGATCCGAAAACGGGCATCCGGAACCTCTTCAGATTCTGCAAACATTCTTCAGATCTACGACAAGTGCATGACAACTGAATGACTATTTCTATCTATTTCTGCAAACCTTTGACGGGCACGCCTTAGGCCAGTATCGAGCTCTTCCACTGGACAAAATCCACGGTGCGTCCGGCACCTGCGAAAATGGGGCCGCAGGGCTTGACTCATCCTCGCTACTCTAGCGATGCCCTTTGTTCCTAGTGCGTCCTCGATGCTACAAACCGCGGTATACCACGGTAACACTTGGTCTTCGAACTGCAGCGAAGGTGAAAGTCGAGTGGCTTCATTTTAGAATTTCTTTGGAAAGTGTCTACAAGACTTGTGAAATTTCTTGGGCGAAAGAGAACAATGTCTATTTTAAAAATAAAACAATTGTCTTCTGTCGACCCCAAAAACATCCTACAGAACTCTGTTTCGCCCCAAAAGGGCTGAGCGGCTGGGAGCGGCTGGGCTTTGTGACGTCGGCCTCAAAGAGCCATTTCTCTGCTCTCAGCTCTGCTTCCTTCGCCTCCGTCATAGGCCTCATCGATTCCCATCAAGAGGAAGGAACAAATAGGAACAAGAAGCTACTAGGAACAAGTGCCTCGCTTCTAGTAACAAGTGCCTTACTAGTAGTAACAAGAAGCTACTAGGAACAAATAGCGATGGCCTCCACCCTAGTAGCGATTGGCCTCCACCCTAATAGCAATGGCCTCCTTTGAAAGAGTTGGGAAGGCCTTTGGAGATGATGAATGCCAACAACCAGATAATGAATTTCAATTCCATGCAGAGGAGGTCTCGGACTGAGTCAATCATCCAGTCGACTGGATCGCACCATGTCCATTTGACACCCCATGTTCAGTCGACCGGAGGTCTGGCGGAAACGGTCTTCGGTTCTTTCAACTCGTTCCTCCCCTTTCCTCCCAGCCTAAAGCTACCAGGTAGTGGAAAATACCTCACTGCCGGCAAGACGGGCTCCAAACTCGTGTAGTGTGGAGGTGGAACCGGTGCTCTGTCGAAGGAGAGCAAGGTATTTGCCAACAAATCTTCCAAATCTTCAAAGCTTCTTGTTACTACTAGTAAGGCACTTGTTACTACTAGTAAGGCACTTGT